TTATTGATCGCAAAGTGCCAACACGGCAATTCAACCTGAATATTGAGGTTTTACTTTAGAAAAAACAACTCATACATTAACTAAAGATGATCCAAACAAAGGAAGGAAAGCAATCCCAAATGCTTTCATTTACTTAACATTATTTGGCAGAGAATTCGACACTTTAATGATGGTCTGGGCCTGGCTGGGGCGATGGCACGTGTGCCCACAGAGAGGGCTCTGAGTGCCACCTCTGGCACCCGTGCCATAGGTTCGTCACCACTGCCCTATGGAGACTGTCCCCATAGAGGATAATGGAAAAGGGATTTAAACTTTAAACTAGCTGAGTTCACTCGCAGAGTTGCGCCTCGGTATATACCGAGTGCACACCCCAATGCTGAATATGCTCAAGTTTAGAGTTCCTAGCACCAGAATTTGGCCCAGCCCCCTGTACCAAAGCAGCAGCAACTCCTGCACTCCACCTTAAAGCTTGTGAGAAAGCAAGTCCTAATGGACTGAACTAGCTTAGTGACCCAACAAGGAGTTTTCCTTTTGTTTCCAGGTGCCTTGCTCTGCCTTGCTTGCCGTATATAAGATGCTGTTATAGCTGTGGCAAAGCCAGTCTGGCTAGTGTTGGACTAACGATAGGGTTATCTGGATCAAAATCCCTGTGCTGCAGTGCAGCAGCCCATCAGCAGCACAATCCTAAACAGAGTTCTACCCTTCTAAACCAAATAACCTCAATGGATGTAGAAGGGTATAACTCTGCTTGGGTTGGACTGCATTGCCAGTGAGTGTCCCATAGTCACCATCTCAAAGCTGCACTGACCTAACAGAGTCATTTCGTAGAAAAAGAGCTGCAGGAGCTCATTAGCATGCCTAATGGGATATTAGCATAATAGGCCATTAGCACATGCCACGCCCCCTGACATAACCGGAAGTGATGTCAGAAGGGGAAGCAAAACGGGGGAGGCATCTTCAAAACCCTCCCCTTCCCCAGGCGGGGGGGGGGGTCAAAGAGAAGAGAAGTGTCAAGAGGCAAAGGGGGGCATTTTCAAAAGCCTTCCCTTCCCTTCTCCAGCTGAGAAGGGGTTTAAACCGACTGGGGAAGGGGAGGCTTTTGAAGATGCCCCCCCCTTTTGCTTCCCCAGCAGGCCTGCCAAGGCAGGGGGGGGGGAGAGAGAAGGGATTTAAAGTTTAAACCCCTTCTCTTTGGAGTCATAGAATATGGGGCCATAGAATATCATGGGAAGGTTGCGCTGCTACTGCGGCGCGCAGGGCAGGGAGCTGGGGGCGAGGCTTGTGCCTGCTCCTGGGCTGCCGGAACAGAGCTCCGGCGTGCTCCGGCCCCAAATGACCCCTGGTTATTGTGAAGATAACAGCCATGCTAAGCTCACTGAAGGTAGCACACAATCAAAACAGGTATGTGAACAAGATGTCCTGGAAAAGATGTGCAAGACTCAGTCTGCTTCTCCTGTTCCCATGTCCAGAGGTTAGGAGTGGAATTAGCTGCTTCTGAATGAAATAAACGAAACTTTTTAAGGTAATCTGCTAGACGGCCTTTCTTGGACCTCCTTTGTTCCGCAGAATTAATGCATCTTTCTATTCTATTCCATAATCTCTCTAAGGCTGTGGACCCAAGCACACTTACCAAGAAATATTGAACTTCTATGCCTGGAATCAGGCTGTAACACTCCTAGGCTGTGACTATGAATGCGATTAACATTTTGTCCAGTTGCTTTAAACCCCAGTGACGAGAAACACGGCCTTTCCAGCCTCAGCAGAGTAGGAGAAAGCTCTGTCTTACGTGAATAAGGCACTGTAATGGCCTCCCTGCATAACGGATGCTTCTTTTCCAGTCCTTGCTGCTGGCTCTTCCTGCCATGGCTTCAAACTCTGTGGGGCTGAACCAGCTCTCCCCTTGCTTAATGCAACGTCCTCGACCACCTCAAATAAGACAAAAAAAAAAAGACTAGGTACTGATTCAGAACAGATTTATGCAAAAATGACTACAATTGATGCTTCCATTTCCCCCCTCCTCTCACAATGCTGATGAAGACACCCAGAAACCTGGTGACGGAGCTGAATCTAAAGAGTCTGATGCTAATCTAAAGAAGCTGAATCTAACGAAGCTGAATCTAAAGAATCTGATGCTGAGATGAACGATATGCAGTCAGGGCCGGCTCACTCACTAGGCGAACTAGGTGTTCGCCTAGGGCGGGCCAGCACTTAGGGGCGCCAAACTTCCCCCAGCCCCCCCCCGCCCCTGCCAAAAGCCCTGACTGGGTGACCGCCACCGCCGCCTCTTTCTCCCCAAGTCTGGCAAGTGAGCCCAGAAGCGCTTACTGCGAGCACAGCGTCCTCTGCGCCACCCCCCCCATTTCTCCGCTCCTGCGCTGCACAAAATGCTTTTACCAGACTTGCCTGGATAAATAGTTACACTCCTGTGCAATGTTCCCTCTAAGCTGTGGAGTCCTGTGAGCAAAAACACTTTCTGAGCTACTGGCATTGTGGGGGGGGCGGCACACGGGGAGGCGATGAACGGGGGAGCGCATGGGGGGGGGGACGCCAGAAGGGATCCTCGCCTAGGGTGCAAAATAAGCTGGAGCCGGCCCTGTATGCAGTCAACGGAACCATATCCTAAGATCATCAGCCTAGGCTCAAAATGAGGCAAAGTCTTTCCAGCTACATCTGCTACAAAAATAAGAGCCCCGATTTAGCAAAGTGCACATAACGAGCTTTGTGAAGTCAGAACAAGATATCTGAAGTTGAGGCAGGAGCCAACAAAGGCTCTCACCTGCGATGTGGTCCTTGCGGCTCATGAGGATGTCACAGTGCAGGCAAAAAGAACCATTTGCCATGAAACTTCGGAATGATCTAACCCAGTTCTGCAACAGACTCGACAGCGGCTGGGAGCTGATCCACTTTTACCCGAAAAGCTTTAAGAAGAAACGCTGATTCTTTCAGATCAAAAAAGAACAAGGCAACCAAGATGATCAAGGGGTTATAAGGAAAGCGTGACAAGTCTGAAACGACTTTTCAGTTTAGAAAAAAAGAAGGCAAAGGGGAGACACGGCAGAGGTTTATAAAATTATGCACGGATCGCAGAAAGTGGATAGAAAGAGAGAGCCTTTCCTCCCTCTCACATAACAGTTGAACTTGGGGGGGCATCTAGTGAAGCTGATGGGCAACAGATCCATGGCAGAAAAAGGAAATACTTTTTAAATCAACAATTAAATTGTGGGATTCATTGCCAGTGGAGGTGATGTGATGGCTATTAGTGGATGGCTGTAAGTGGATACGGCTTTAAAAGGGGGACAGACAGATTTGTGGAGGAGAGTTCCTTCAATAGTCACTAGCCATGGTGAGTTAAGGAAGCCATCATATACAGAGGCAGCAGACCTCCAAATACCAGTGCTGTGAGGCAAGATCAGAGGACGTTCTTGATGCCTGTGCCCTCCAGCTAAGATACTTGTTAGCTGCTATATGAAACAGTCTGCTGGACTAGATAGACCACTGGCCTGAGCCAGCAGAGTTCTTTCATTCTTCTTAAGAAGAGGAAGAAGAGATTGGATTTATACCCCGCCCTTCACTACCCAAGGGAGTCCCAGAGCGGCTTACAAACTCCTTCCCCTTCCCCTCCCCACAACAGACACCCTGTGAGGTAGGTGGGGCTGAGAGAGCTCTTGACAGAAACTGCTCTTTTTCAAGAACAGCTCTTATCAGAACTATGGCTTTCCCAAGGTCATCCAGCAGGTGCAAGTGGAGGAGTGGGGAATCAAACCCGGTTCTCCCAGATTAGAGTCTGCGCCCTTAACCACTATACCAAGCCCATCTCTTAAGATGGGACATATTACCTGAGCCAAGTCGGTTTTTGTACAGGATACCACTGATATTTCGACATCGTACGGGCAGTTCATTGTCATACACTGAAGGGTCCCAGTTATATTTTGTTCCACCTTTTTCTTGGCCAGATGTTAAGGGAGTAGTAGGAGATTGAGGACCTTAATGGAAAGAAAACACACAACAAACTAAGGCACAACTAACAAAGACACATAGGCTGGTTCTCACAGGTTGACAGTTAAGTATGAGGAAACAACTAGGTGTGATCTTTTACAGTTAAAAGAAAAGAAGATGAAAAGAAAATCTACAGCGAAAAGCAGGTCTGTTGTTTGAGGGTGTTAGAACTGCAGAAAACATGTGAGAAGGGCGTATGACATGATTACTTCCCATGCCAGTCTTTCCAGTCCTTTCTTCATTTTTTAACCATTATCATAACAGTATCCAATTTTGCCACTGAAACCCAGGATGTTTCTTTTCTGTTGGCTGATGTAAATCCTGAGGTAGTGCGAGCTGTGGCCAAATTTTTGTCTCTTATGATATCCACATCTGCTACACATTAATGCGACAACTTGAAGAGTTTTATATCTTCTAATGCTATTTTATTAGTGATGCTTTTTTATTTATTATTTGTTTCCAATGTGATCTGTGACTTAAATTTACTGTAGTGGTCATCTCAAGATCTCACGTTGATAAAGGTAAAGGTTCCCTTGCTTGAAAGCCAGTCGAGTCCGACTCTAGGGTTGTGGTGCTCATCTCCGTTTCAAAGCCGAAGAGCCACCGCTGTCCGAAGATGTTTCCGTGGTCATGTGGCCGGCCTGACTAAACACCAAGGCGCACGGAACGCTGTTACCTTCCCACCAAAGCAGTACCTATTTATCTACTTGCAATTTCTTGCTTTCGAACTGCTAGGTTGGCAGGAGCTGGAACTAGAGACGGGAGCTCACTCCGTCATGCGGCAACTCGGGTCTCGAACTGCTGCACTACCGACCTTCCACAGCCTGCAGTTCAGCATCTTAACCACTTGAGCCACCGCACGTTGATACAACCATGCTAAAGTTGCAACCATTTTGCTCAAGTAACATAGAAATGGGCCCTGATATATTGACTACCAGAGGAGACAGCTATTTGTATGTGTTTAACAGAGACAAGAAGAGGAATGTGACAAAGCAAAGGGGAGAAAATGTTGGAACAGCTACTGCTCCACCATGTGGAGAGCGATGAGATAGCATGCCACTGAACAATCCTGGGATACGAATAAAAGATAAAGTTGGATTATTTATTTCTAATGAAGACAGCGGCAACCATTCAGCCAAAGTCCTACCAGTCTTTTAAAAAATAAAATATAGAAAAATACATGTTATCAGTTATGTTAATTTTTCCCACTGTTAAAAACAAAAGTCTAAGTAGAA